TCCAGTTTCCTAGTGGGAATTTTTGGGCAAGGGGAAACCGTTTCCACCTCTGTATGACCAGCTCCACCTGCCAAAATTTCCCTTTGGGGCACAGCTATGAAAGATACAGGAGTCCTGCTTTCTGCTGAAGCATGCTTATTTCATCTTGTTTGGTAGTTATTTTTCTCTTTGACATCTGGTGGGAGGGCATTCCACAGGGCGGGTGCCACTACCAAGAAGGCCCTCTGCCTGGTTCCCTGTAACTTGGCTTCTTGCAGTGAGGGAGCTGCCAGAAGGCCCTCGGCACTGGACCTCAGTGTCCGGGCAGAACAATGGAGGTGGAGACGCTCCTTCAGGTATACTGGACCGAGGCCATCTGCCATGGATGCTTTAGTTGAGATTTGGTGTTGGACTAAACGACCCATGGACTCCCTTCCAGCTCTACAGTTCTATGATTCAAATGCTGGATGGAAGCTCTGCTTCCATGACAACCTGTAGTAGCTGTTGAAACTGTTGGCTCAGCACTGTGGTCCTTCATTAAGGGACCAGAAGAAGTCAGACCACCAGTAAATCCAGCTTGGTATTGTCTACACTGATGGGCAAAGGCTCTTCAGGATTTCAGGCAGGAGACATTCCCAGCCCTACATTGAGATGTTGGGTGCTGAACCTGGGACCTTTTGCATGCAAAGCATCTGCTGTAGCCCTGAGCTCGAGCTCTTGGGTAACATGGGAAGTGGCCCTTAGCATCAGGGGTTCCCAGCTGTAAATTGGGACTTGTAGTGATGAACGAAGGGTTGTGACTCTGACGCTTTGGACCATGCTTCCCTATGGCTGCCCCAGGACCTACGTGCTCCTCCTCTGTGGAGGAGCTGGGCATTGCACAATTGCACATACAGAGGCAGGAAGCTGTGGCATGCAAGGTTCTGCCAGGTAGCTATCAGGCCAGTCCTTGACTGAAAGCTACCTCTCATCTTCAGGGCCACACCTGACCACCCTGTTGCCTGTAGCCTAGTGGGAGGGCATCTGCCCTGCATGCAGAAGGCCGCTGGGTCCCTGGTGTCTCCAGGTAGGGCTAGGGATGCTATCCAACTGGAACCTCAGAGAGCCACTGTCAGTTCTCAGGTAGATAGACCAAAGGTCTGACTTTGTCTAAGGTAGCTTCTGGCATTTGGGGACCACAACTCCCATGTGGAGGGCCCTTGGGCTTGATGTTCCTCACCACTTTCTGCTCATAAGTGTCCCACTGAGTTCAGTGGGGAGACTTATTCCCAGGTGAACAGGTACAGGGTTACAGCCCAAGGCAGTAATATGCCTTAACTGTTTGACACCTCAGCGCCCTTGACCTTAATGTATTGCGTGCTTGATAATATCTAGTAAATGTTTATTGAAAAAAGCAGAAGCGTTTGAAAAGTTCGCTGAGGAGAGAGGTGCGGCCTCACAAGCAGGGCGAAAATCCGCCGCCAGAAAGCTATAAAACTGAGGGGAGTGGAACCTACGTCAGTCTCATGAACCTGCTGAAAGGGAAAAGGTGGCTAAATGGAGTCCTGTCTCCCAGGCCTTCAGGACTCTCAGGAACTGCTCCCCATGTCCCCTCCACTCGCTGGCCTTGCTCCAGGCTCTCTTTAATGTTTTGGCCCACCTGCGATGTGACCTTGAACCCTGATACTGATCTTGCTTGCAAGCATGGAGGATAAGAGAAGGGTGTGTGAGTTCTGGGTAGAAACTAGCCTGCTGGGCAAAGATCAAATGTGCATTAAGCTTACATAACGATAACGGGAATAAGCATAAATTGCACATGGGGTTTGGGAAGCGTGGGCTAACGATGGTGTCAGAGTCATTTTACATAATCTCGCGTTCAATACTGTTTGCTCCAGCAAAGGTTTCGGGCTGCTGGTAATTTCTGCTGAAATCCTGTACAACAAATATTTGGGAGGGGCGGGTTGTCCCATTTTTATTGTGCTGAATAAAGCTAATTGGGATAGATAGTTCAGTCAGTAGAGCATGAGACTCTTCCAAGCTCCACATTGGGCCAAAGATTCCTGCATTGCAGGGGGTTGGACTAGATGACCATTGTGGTCCCTTCCAACTCGACAATTCCATGATTCTACGACCAAGCCAGTATCTGGCAATGGATCACAAGGCGATGTCATGAGTTACATAGCAGGGGACTTTTGCTTTGCAGAATTTCAAGGTGTCAGGGACCGTGCTGAGGAGGGCTGCACTGAGAAGGAATGGTGGGAGCCTCCCCTTCCCCCTGATCCAGATCCTGAATCTTCCCAGGAGCAGGAGGACAGTATAGATTTGGAACAGTGGTTTGCAGAGGGGCATAGTTCGGAAGGCAGAAGCTGGAAAATACTGGATGGGGAACAGCCAGCAGAAGAAACACTGGAAGAGAGAGAGAGAGTTAACAGATTCACAGTCTCTGGATAGTATCCACCCACTTCCCCAAAGTCCTGGAGAGCTCAGAAAGTGTCAGAACAGAAAGCACAGAGGTTCCAAGCTCAGATTACAAGATTTAGGAGTGATGTAAATTAATAGGGACGGACTAGGGAGTGAGCTTAATTGGGAGCCCCGCCATTCTGGTTAGATGCTTTCTTTTGTCCTTCGCTGCGTATATTAAAGAAATGAACTCATAAGTAATCAAATCCGTCTTTTCATATAGCTGTTCCAGTAGGGCATTTGTTTTAGAGAAAGCACACAACAGAGCTTCTGAATACATTGTCCTGCAAGGTCAGAAGTCTATTCCCACGATTGTAATCTGTAACAGCTGCAAGCTCCCTGGAGTTGGTTACAGTTTCACAGTCTCCCTCTAGGGGGAAAACTTCTATTTGTTCTTTCTTTTAAAGACAAGTCTAACAACAAAGTTTCCTTTTTCAGATATTTTGTCAATATTTGTTCCTTTAAATGCGAAGGGGAACAATGGAATCAATGTTTCTCTTCTTATAGCTATCTGTCAAAAATGTTTGTCTCTGGTCAATGAGCTTCAAAACGTCAGTCCTGACACCCGCTCCAGGATCAGGACGGTGGAAAGTTACTTTACTTTACACTCACTTCTGCAGGTTTAAACAGTCCGAAAAAATCCCCCCTCTTCTCCTGCTTCCGAAGGGGGTTCAACAATTTTAAATGGTGAAAGTTTATCTTTTGCAAGCGATTTTTCTGAGCTCTAGTTTGCCATGTCTTTGCTTTAATCTATCTACAAAGAAACGGAAGGCTGACTTCCTGTTTAGACCTTCCCGTTTCAGTGCCAAATTGAGGTAAACTTTTAAGTCCAATTTTCCTTTCTGCTCACAAGTCCTTATTTAAAGTCCAATTGTCCGAGTTTAAGTACTCACGGGTGATTATTTTAGAAGCCAAATTGTCCCAGGAAAAAGGCAGCGCTCTCCAGCAACGGCTGTGCGGCTTCGCTCCACGGAAGAAGCAGTTGACTCTCAGCACCGCACCACTTCCCCCTCTTCGCTCCGGAGCCCGTTAGTGGGTTCTTTTGCGGGTTGGGGGGGCGCTAAAGGTGCCTGCCGAGTCCCATGGTCACAGGCTTCATCCGCCTGTGATTTTTAAAAGGGTCCCCGCTTCGCCGTAGCAGAAAAGACCCGTTTCGCGTGGAGCTAGTCCCTCCAGATCAGAAGGAGTCCGCCATTGCCGATGGCGCCACCCCAGAAGTCCTCAGAAATTTTGAACAGGCAGTGGGAAATTATATGGAGCCCACCCAAGAATTAATTCAGGAGTGTGCCCTGACGGAACAGATGAGGGAAGAGGATGTTGCTGAATCTTGGGCGCCAGAGACGGAGGGAGCTGTGGCCGAGCAGGAACATGAGCTTTTGGATTTGACAAATGAACTTGGAAAAAGCCAGATTTGGAAAGATAAAGTTTGGTTTGGAAATGGGGGGTTGGACAGACCCCCCTATGCAGGGATGTTTGGACTTTTCAAGTCTGGCAATGGGCCGTGAGATCTTTGGGATTGTGGGGGCTCTTAATTTTGGAGGGTTTTTGAAACATGTTCTTAAATACCACATGGAGTTTAGTGTGGACTATGGAAAAGGGGCTGATTTGTCGAGAAGGGTTAAAAACATTGTTAAGCTGGAGTTCCCACGAGTGAAAGGAGCAGGAGACAAAGGAAAATACAGTTATAAATATGAAGAAGAGCCGTGGAAGGGACATGGAAGAGACTTAAGGGCCTCGGATACAAGGTTACCAGGTTAATGCGCTAGATCGATGGGATAATAAGGACTGACAAAACCCGGGACCAGGAGGAAGGGACGCTGGATGAAGATTGGATTGTTTTTATTTCTTTTTTTTATTACTAGGATTGTTTTATAAAATTGATGAATGTTAGAAAAATGTTGGAACGAAATTACTTGGCTTTAGCAAAAATATTCAAAGAATTATGTAAGAATATTATGGTTATGAGAAGTTGGTAAAAATAAGATTTAAGTTTTAAGTTTTAAGGTTCCTTATAGTAAGATAAGATTAAAATAGATTAAGGTAATGTAATGACAGAATATTATGAAATATGGAAAGGATTTGCTGCGACAATTAACAACTAGGATACAAAAAAAGGGAGGAGGAGGAGGTCAAAGAAAGAAGGTAATGACAGTTGAGGATTTGAGAATGATGGATTTGTTTTTGAGTGTTTGTGGTGTATTTTTGTTTTTTGAATTTGTATTGTTTGATGTGGTTTGTTTTTTCTTTATTTTTTCTTTCTCTTTTTATGCTTTGTTCTCTTTTGTAATTCTAAAAAACTTTCAATAAATATTATTTAAAAAGAAAGAAAGAAATGAACTCATAAGAATTCTCTTTTGTTTGATCTGCTCATTTATGGCCACGGAGGAGAAAGCCAATTCCCCAAAGCCTGACACAAGGCAGATATTTTGGGATACTGGGATTGGTCCCTCCTTACCTCTTCCCCGCTCCCCCAGTCATATTCTAAGGACAACAGAGAATGCACTGAAGAACAATGTTTTTTTACCACGCCTTCCATCCCGCACCCCTGCTCTTAGGCTGTAAACCGGGAATCACAAACCTTTCTAGAATATCCCCAGCTGCTTCCTCCTGTTGATATCTCTCTTGAGCTGGCAAAGATTGCAGGGAGCACAGAAAGTGGTGGTGAGGCAGTCGCAACAGATGGATCCCTGCAGAGAGTAAAAAAAAAGCAAAATTTCATAGCAGAAGACTGAATTGTATTTTGATTAGGGATGGATGGAACATTCTGTTTCCAGTCTCTGCTGGTTTTCTTTATTTTATTTATTTAAGATGTTATCTGCACAACACTTAATTGGGGAGTGTTTGTTGAGCAACTTAGAAACGCGAAACACAAATATTACCCAGTAATTTAAAAGGTTAGGTCCAGTCGCGAACGACTCTAGGGTTGCGGCACTCATCTTGCTTTACTGGTCGAGGCAGCCGGCGTACAGCTTCCGGGTCATGTGGCCAGCATGACTAAGCCGCTTCTGGCAAACCAGAGCAGCGCATGGAAACGCCGTTTACCTTCCCGCCGGAGTGGCACCTATTTATCTACTTGCACTTTGACGTGCTTTTGAACTGCTAGGTGGGCAGGAGCAGGGACCGAACAATGGGAGTTCACCCCGTCACGGGGATTTGAACCGCCGACCTTCTGATCGGCAAGCCCTAGGCTCTGTGGTTTAGACCACAGCGCCACCTGCATCCCTATCCAGTAATTTACCGGTATCCTAAACTGAGTCCGGTAGCGAGTCCTCATGGCGACGCTCGGTCCACAGCAACAGCATTCTTCCATGTCCTTGGCAACTTTGCATCCTAGGCAGAAGAAGCAGAATGTTCCACACAGACCTAGAGGGGGCGGGCGGGAATCAAACACAAAGGTTAGCTTTTTCGCACCCTCCAGTATACACGCAGCCAATGGAATTTCACTGCTTGGTCTCAGAAGCATTTAGAGGCACGGTGTCTTGAGATGAAGAAACACTTTCAAAGAGAGGACCACTTCTCAGGGTTAGAGCATCTATCTTGCATACAAAAGGCCTAAGGTCCAATCCTCAGTATCTCCAGGGCGAGACTGGGAGTGCCCAGTGTCTGAAACCCTGGAAAGTCACTGCCCATCACTGAAGACAAAAATGACTCAGGATAGGCAGTTCCCTAACTCCCAAATTACTCTCTGGCACCAATTGCTCTTGGGTCAACAATTCCTTGCGTCTTGTACTTCTTTCTGCAGTTACCGCATGCAACTGGAAATTATCAGTCATCATGATGGGTTGGCCAAACTTGTCTGTGAGTTTGTGAAGTCTCGCCGAAGGGTGTGTGCAATTCAACTCATAAGCACATACAGAGCCAAGGGCCAAGGGCAGCAGAGGCTTAGATAAAAGGTAAAGACACACACATTCTGTTTTGTAAAAGTTCACTAAGCAAAAATTCATTTATCCAAACATGAGGAATTCATATCCAAGCCTTGCCATACACACCACAGATCCAGATACCCAAACAGAGCATTTTTACTTCCTCATTTGCATTTTGCTGGTTGGCTGAGGAATGGAGGGAGGGGGAGCAGTTGGATAAATCAGAGCATTTTCCCCTATGTTTTCCTGGATATTTTTTTTTTTGGGGGGGGGGGTCTTTGGGAGTAAAAATTCCATGGTCGGGACACATTAGAAATTTTCCAATAGGAATCACTGGAAATCATTGGCTTGTTATGTGAATGCTTGACCCTGTGAATGATTTTCATGGATCGTATGATGTCTGGATAACAAGACCTATATTTTTATTATGTAGAATAATAATTAATCTTCCTGGGAGGGAAGGTCAGACCATATAGGCCACACCAGGGTCGCCCTGTACAGCGCTTCGTTTCTCCCCATATAAGTGCGTGGCTGCCCTTCTCTCCTACGGAGACAAGAAAAGGGGTCCACTTGGGGCCATTTATGGGGCGTGGTGCCATCTGATCTTATAATATGCTAGGGAGGGAGTCTGTCAGCTGGGCCTGGGCATCTTAAGACCTGCACTGCCAGAGCAGCCTTCAGTCACTGCGGGCTATTGATTTGATCTTGGTTGTTCTGCAACACCATATTAATGGCCAGAGAAGCAGTGGTGTAACAAGGTCAGGTGGTACCCGGTCCAGAAAATTTATTGTCACCCCCCCCACACACACACTGAAATTTTTGCCTGCAAAAAATTCACAGTTGGGTGGGGAGCCAGAGTTGTTGAGCTATTCTAGCGGAGATTGCGCGCCTTGTGGCGAGGAATCTGCCTGCCGCCCTACAGAGGAGCCATTTTGGCAGCGGTAAGCCAAAGCATGCCAAGGCGTCTCTCACAGACGTTGAGTGCCACACAGCATTTTGTCACACACACACACACACACACACACCCCGGAGGTGACACCTGGGGAAGACCGCACCCACCGCACCCACCTTGCTCCGCCCCTGCAGAGAAGGGGACTGCAGCTCCTCACCTCAGGTGGACCAAGTTATCTGAGAACCCAATGGGGGAGCTGGCTGGCCTTGTACAAGTCTTGCTCCAGGTTTGGTTTCTCAGTCCACACAACTTGTCAGAGGAAGTAGCTATTCTAGAGACTGCTGTGCCTCTCCTCCCCTTCCTGAGACCTCCCTTTAAGCTGCCATGTGTCCCACTTTACAGAATACAGTCCTCTATTTGAAGGACTGCCAATCCAGATCCAATTTAAGGGCAAAGAACCATGAGAAGAGATATCCGGGGCCTGGAAGGGGCCCAATAATTGACAGCACCCCAAGCTGAGAGCACCTGGACTGCAAATGGAGCAGATACGGTCTCTGTCCAGTATACCTAAAGGAGCGTCTCCACCCCCATCGTCCAGCTCCACCCCACTGAGGTCCAGCTCCAAGGGCCTTCTGGTAGTTCTCTTACTGCGAGAAGCGAGGTTACAGGGAACCAGGCAGAGGGCCTTCTCAGTAGTGGCGCCCACCCTGTGGAACACCCTCCCATCAGATGTCAATGAGATAAACAACTGTCTGACTTTAACAAGACATCTGAAGGCAGCCCTATATAGGGAAGCTTTTAATGTTTGATGTTTCATTGTGTTTTTGTATATTCTGTTGAGAGCCGGCCAGAGTGGCTGGGGAAAATCAGCCAGATGGGCGGGGTATAAATTATTATTATTATTATTATTATTATTATTATTATTATACACAAGTGGCAGATTCTACACTTCTTCCCCTGCATGGAAAGCCCACCTTGCTATTTGAGAATGGTCACACTAGTGTGTGATGGAACACTGAGAGACTGGCTTTTATAGAGAGAGGTTGGCTGTTGTTTTATAGTACAGCTAAATCGTGGCTGATGTTCAAAGTCCCCCAAGGCCATAAAACCCCAAATCTTTGAACTTCACTCACAAACACGACAGTCGCTGCCGCAGTCACAGAGGTCCGTCTGCCACTCAAAACTCCGCGTGGATGTGTGGCATTGTGGCTGAGTGGTGACAACAGGACGATAAGTCATTTCCATTTTCACAAAGTCTGGTTAGATGTTGCTGTCTAGTGGGAGGGGAAAAAAATACATTGGTTTTGAGACTTTTAAAAGTGCAACTAGTCTCCGCATCATGCCCTTCAGCAAAACCTGCTGAGTAAATCATGAGATTAAGAGAAAGGAACATTTTCTAGATTAGTAAGTAGTTTAGGAGCAGAAAGCAGACATTAAGGGTGATTTCACAGTACAGTGAGGGAGAGAAGCATCTGGCTTTCCAGTTGCTGTTGAACTCCCATCAGAGGTCAAAGAAATAAATAAACACCTACTGGACGTTTAGAAGACATCCCTGTTTAGGGAAGTTTTTAATGACTGATGTTTTAATGTATTTTTAAACTTTTGTTGGAAACTGCCCAGAGTGTCTGGGGAAACCCAGCCAGATAGGTGGAGTATAAATAATAAATTATTATTATTAAAATTATGATTAACTAGAACTCCAGTTTGCTTAAAAATTAGGACCAAATGAAATCCTGCTTCATTCTGATGATGATGAGATGGTCTTAATTTGGTATAAGGCAGTTTCCTATGTTCCTAAATTGGGAAGAATGCTCAGTAAACAGGTTGTCTGGATTGAAAGCAGCCTCAGTGCATAATCATGAAAAAAAATTCATGACAATAATTATTAATATTATTAATAATATTTAGTAAAAATATTTAGCATTTTTAGTACTAAAATAATATTTAGTAAAAAAAACTAAAAAGCAAATTGCCAATATTGTCATTAGGGCTGGGCGATGTATTGATACATCGTCCAAAATCGGTTTGAAGTCCGCATCATGGTAACAGTTTTGTAATATTCAACATGGTGACATATCGCGAAATATCACAATGTGTGTGTGTCGTATGTAAAAAGATAAAATTGTGATGTGGGGAAAACTGTGAAGCCAACTCGTCACTTTTCTCATGATTCCTCCTGCCCCTGTTGCTCTGTACAGTGGTGCCTCAGGTTACAGACGCTTCAGGTTACAGACGCTTCAAGTTACAGACTCCGCTAACCCAGAAATAGTGCCTTGGGTTAAGAAATTTGCTTCAGGATGAGAACAGAAATCGCTCAGCGGTGGCAGCAGGAGGCCCCATTAGCTGAAGTGGTGCTTCAGGTTAAGAACAGTTTCAGGTTAAGAACGGACCTCCGGAATGAATTAAGTACTTAACCCGAGATACCACTGTACTGTAGTTGCATCCTTATTCTCAGACATTGTGATATATTGGTCAGAGCCATAGCTAGGTGATCTCGTGCCCCTGGCAGAACCACCCAGATTGCGCCCCCTAGCCACGGACAAATTAGCTCTTCTTTCTGCCTCTCCTCCAACTCAACCTCCCCCCTCCCCGTACCCATTCAATTCCTCACACACTTCACCTTGCAATGAATTCTGATTGGAGGACGCCAAGATGGGGAAGGTTGACCTAGATGACGCGATATAGGCGTCTCCCCACTTACGCGCGGGTGACGTTCCAGGCCCCTGCCTGCATGTGAAATCCCATAAAGTGGGAAGCACCCCACTTTAATAGGGAGAAGGGCATGGGAAGAGGAGCTCCACAGACCGCTACTGATTATTTTTATCTGCAGTTGAAGATGTAGAAAGAGCACAAGGTGTGCTCTAGGGTACACGTGTAGTTCATGGACTCTTGCCTCGCACAGAGCGTGATGGCAAAGCCAAGTAAGCCTGGCTTATTTCCTGACATGAGCAGATCGTGTGCCCGAGGTGGAATGTGCTTCTGCATCGTCCTCTGCAACATGCAAGGTTTGCACAACACCAGACAGAGCAGAACGGGAAGTATTCCCCGGAGGCAGAATGTCTGGAAATCACCGAGGAATCAAGGCTGAGATTGCATACACACTGAACCTTTAAGGCACATTCAAACCGTCAAAGAATTCTGAGCACCACAGTTTACCTCCTAAAGGTAAAGGGACCCCTGACCATTAGGTCCAGTCGTGGCCGACTCTGGGGTTGTGGCGCTCATCTTGCTTTATTGACCGAGGGAGCCAGCGTACAGCTTCCAGGTTATGTGGCCAGAATGACTAAGCCGCTTCTGGCGAACCAGAGCAGCGCACGGAAACGGCGTTTACCTTCCCGCTGGAGCGGTACCTATTTATCTACTTGCACTTTGACGTGCTTTCGAACTGCCAGGTTGGCAGGAGCAGGGACTGAGCAACAGGAGCTCACCCCGTCACGGGGATTCGAACCGCCGACCTTCTGATCGGCAAGCCCTTGGCTCTGTGGTTTAACCCACAGCGCCACCTGCGTCCCTCCTCCTTTTTACCTCCTGCAGAACTGTAATTCCCAGCAACCCTCAACAAACAGTGCCTAGTATTCTTTGAGGGGGGTAATGTGCCCAGGATGCGTCGTGAAGATTTAGTGTGTACCCTGCTTGAGAGGGAGTGGGCATGTCCACTCCAGGTAAGCATCCCTTGAGACTAGACCCACAGAGTTGTCTCCAGCTATCTGTGACCCATCAGTGAGACCCAGTGCCGGATTTAGGTATAAGCTAAACAAGCTATAGCTTAGGGCCCCACTCTCTTGGGGGTACCCAAAAAACTTGAAAGGAAAAAAAACCCTGGATGTACATTTCCAAAATAGAAGATAAAAAACAAAATAAAAGCTACACACAGCAAGAGTGTTTTGTGTTGTGTAGGCTCCTATGGTGTAAGTAATGGGCCCCGCCTGCTAGCCTGCTCCCTAAAATATCACTGGTTTGCTCATTTCTATATATATAGGGTGCCTACATTCTGCTATTTATAATTATTAGTTGTTTGCATTGTATATTTACACCTATCATTATTTCATGTTATAGCAAGTTTCTAGATACCAGATTATGGGTCTTTGTAAACTGTGTTTCTAAAGGAACTTTTGTTATTGCCAAATGCCAATGTGTTTGCATTATTATGTTTGTTATAAATAAAAAATAATCTTAAGTTAGAGCTTAATAATTATTTCACTATGAATGTACTTCTTCTTAATTGTATTTCACTATTACTATACTTCTTCTTAATTGTATTTCAGTTCAACAATTATTTTGATAAAATACAAACTTTGTTACGTGCAAATGGCTTTAGATACCTATAACAGTGGTACCTCTGGTTACATACTTAATTCGTTCCGGAGGTCCGTTCTTAACCTGAAACTGTTCTTAACCTGAAGCACCACTTCAGCTAATGGGGCCTCCTGCTGCTGCCACGCGATTTCTGTTCTCATCCTGAAGCAAAGGTCTTAACCCGAGGTACTATTTCTGGGTTAGCGGAGTCTATAACCTGAAGCGTATGTAACCTGAAGCGTATGTAACCTGAGGTACCACTGTAGTCATGTCCATTCATTTCTATGGGTAGGACAAACATTGGGTGCAACCCTAAAAGCTGATGGGTAGATCATGGGTCATGTTCGGGTCCAGCCAAAGCCATTTTACTCCTTAAGGCAAGGCAGGGTCCCGCATTTACTGACTGCAGGGACTACGGAGACACCAGGCACATTTTGAAAGGCTTTGCTCAGCCTGGCAGCTGCTAGCAATGGCACCTTGAAACACATTCATTTTGGCAGCCTGGTCGTCCTTGGGATGGTAGCAAGGCGAGGGGATACATAATCTGCTGCCCTTCCTAGTCTGCCTCCTGAGATAGATAGCTTCATTTTGGCTCATGATAGGCTTAGTCCTAGTCATGTTTCAAGTGGGAATGGTTACTTCCTTTTCCCCTGAGCTATTTCTTCTGAAACAGCCAGTTTTCAGTTCCTTCTACCCAGCATGGTTGGCACTCGCCAGGGCCATGGGAAATGGAAAACCCTGCTGCTGAAATGTCACAGAAACCACAAATCTGATTTGATAACCAAATCGTTCAGTGACCCGAAACCTTTCCGATCTGCAGATTTTGTGTGAGAATCAAGTGTCCCTGGCCATGCAAAGCGGGGCAGCTAACCGTCTCCAAACGTTTGGGTTGGTAGTGGTGCTGCCAAACTGAAAGTGAAGTTGAACATAAATTGCATTTTGACTTGTAGTCTCAGCAGGTTGCTTTTGATGAAGCTGACCGCAAGAAATCAAGCCAGGTTCTCTGTCTTCTCACATCCACATCATCCGTTTAAAGCCATTTTATACCAATCTAGGAGCCAGGGCTTCCCCCAAGGAATCCTGGGAATTTGTTAAGGGTGCCTCAAAGGGCCATTCAAATAATGTTACATTTGTAGTTGCCCTAAACAACAGACAAATGCTGCCGTTTAGCACAACCCCAAAGTCTTCTGCCTTCCTCAAGCTACCTCTTGCTGCCTAATGGTAGGACCAGTTCTGGCGATCTCTCTAATGGATATTGCCTGGACATTTGAAGAGCTTCAACCCACAATCATGAAGGCTAAATGTCTACTTTTGTTTCCACAGCTTCAGTGATTGTTGCTCACCCGCTTCCCCAACAAAGAGATTTCTGTATCCTCCCCCCTGCAGGATCCACCCTATTCTCCCGATTGTAAAAAATTAAAACTAACTTTAATATTGACTTTTTATATTGTTGCAATCTGCCCTGGGACCTTACGGCGAAGGGTGGGTAAGAAATCCGTTTAATGATAAAAACGATAAGAATTAAAATGGTCATTCTTATTTTCCAACTAGCTGATAATAAAAACTAGAAGCCTTGTATCTAGCATTGTTCAGTTATTCTAAGAAACAGTGCAGTTTTAAAAGTCCCATTGAGCCATCTTGCTTTAAAATGGAATCCGACTGCAATTGAACACAGATGAAAACCTGCTCCCTGATCTCAGAACCATCATCCAAGATTTGGTTATGATATCTTCAGAGGTGTCCAAATGCAGAGCAGACAAAAAAACTTTTCAAAATGTATAATAGGTATATACCAACTGTCCAGTGCCTTGTGGACAGCTGCCTCCTGGCACCATCAGATCTGAAACAAATAATATTTTAAGCCACCACCCAGGTAGCCGATGGAAATCAATTTCATGGGATACAGTTATCATCAATAGCATATAGGGTACAATCCGTCAATGAATAAA